GCCTGTGTTCTTAACCACTAAATTTAAGTGTAGCTGTTTAGAGGAAGAGAACTCATTCTAAGCCCTTTCCCCAACTCCAGGCCCCATTAAGTTATTATATATTTAGTTATCCATATAGGGTTGATTTTTGATTTTGTACGTTCTATTGGTTTGACAAATGTTTAATGACATCTATATAACATAGTATCATGTAGAATAGTTTCACTGCCCTAAAAATCCTCATTGCTCCACCTATCATCTCTCCCTTCTCCCAACCCCTGCCAATCACTGATCTTTTTACTATCTCCATAGTTTTATGTTTTCCAGAATGTCATATAGTTGGGATCATACAATATACAGCTTTTTCAGATTGATTTCTTTCACTTAGTAATATGCATTTAAGGTTCCTCCATGTCTTTTCATGGCTTGAATAGCTCATTTCTTTTTAGCACTGAGTATTCATTGTCTAGAGGTACCACCAACTTATTTATCCATTCATCTAATGAGGAACATATTGGTTGCTTCCAAGTTTTTCAATTATGAATAAAGCCTCCATAGACATCTGTGTATAGGTTTTTGTGTGGACATAAGTTTTCAACGCCTTTGGGTAAATACCAAGGAGCACGATTGCTCAATTATATGGTAAGAGTATATTTAAGTGTGTAAAAAACTGCCTGTCTTCCAAAGTGACTGTTCCATTCCCACCAGCACGCGAATTCCTGTGGCTTCACATCCATGTCAACATTTGATGTTGTCAGTGTGTTGTTGTATTTTGGTCATTCTAATAAGTGTATGGTAGAAAAAATGTTCAACCTCACTAATCATTAGAGAAATGCAAATAAAAACCACAATGAGATACCACTTGACTCCGGTCAGGATGGCTATCATCAATAAATCAACAAGCCACAAATGCTGGCGAGGTTGTAGAGAAGAGGGAACCCTGGTGCACTGTTGGTAGGACTGCAGACTGATGCAGTCATTATGGAAATCAGTATGGAGGTATCTCAAAAAACTGGAAATGGAACTACCGTATGACCCAGCAATTTCACTCTTGGGAATCTATCCAGAGAAACCCAAGACGCTAATTCAAAAAAATATATGCACCCCTATGTTTATTGCAGCACTATTCATAATAGCCAAGGCTTGGAAACAATTGAAATGCCCATCGGTAGATGACTGGATTAAGAAACTATGGTACATTTATACAATGGAGTATTACTCTGCTATAAAGAAGAATTAAATCGTACCATTTGTGACGATATGGATGGACCTAGAGACTATTATGTTAAGTGAAATAAGTCAGTCGGAGAAAGACAAATACCATATGATTTCATTTATATGTGGAATCTGAAAAATTGAATGAACGAGCAAAGTAAACAGAAATGGTCTCAGAGATGTAGAGGAGCAACTGATGGCTGCTAGTTGGGAGGGGGGTGGGGATGAGGGAGAAGGGGAAGGGATTAGACAGCATAAATAGTTAACTACAGTATTGCCACAGGGATATGAAAGACAGTTCAAGGAATATAATTAATAATGCTGTAAATAACTTGTAGGGTGTCAGATGGTCACATGTCTTGCTAGGGAGACCGCATCATGGATGGGGTAGAGGCTTGATCACTGCACTGTACACCTGAAGCTGATGTATAATATTGTTTGTCAACTATA